AGAGCGCGTCTCGCCGATGTTCCGCGTCGCAAAGCCCACTCTCGCAATATCGCGCGCCTCGCGAGAAGGATTCGCCGAGGAGAGGTCGATGGCGGCGGCGGTGGTTTCCGCAACCCGCCGGCGAACAAGACGGGCCGGCGGCTTCTCTCGCGGCAAGAAGAATGCATCCTCCCGCCGGAGCTGCGGCCCTCGCGCAGAAGGCACAACTTTCCTCCACGGTTGAGCCGCTGATAATAATAGATCGTCAGGCACAATGGAGATTCGTGAAAGGCCTGGCTGTCTGCGTTTGCCTTAAATGCCATGTATTAAGCGCGGCCGATCACAAAGAAATGCAGGTACGAGCGTCTCCGGCTCTTGCGTCGCTCTCGACAGCTGACGGGAAGGATGACGAGCGCTCGTTTGCTCGTTCGCTCGCGCGCCTCCGGGAGTCGTCTCGTCTTTGCATGTGTGTGTGTGTGTGTGACTCTCACTTTTCTCTCGGATATAGGTCGTCGCCGTCGCCGTCGTCGTCGTGGTGTGTGCGCGGAGAATTTAGAACTACCGGGCATGTGTGCACGCGCATAAACAAACGCCGCAACAAGTCGGAGAGTCCGGAAGCGAAGCTTGCAGCTTCGACCTTCGTGCGCGGGCGTTCGGAAGCGCCGTAATGTAATGTTTCGTGTCAAGATCTTCCGGATCTCGCTCTCTACATCTAAGTTTGAACCAGCCACGTGCGCGTTGCTCCTCATTCGCGAAGCTGCTCTCCCGATTTCCCACGGAAGTCGAGAACCATCATGCGGCTGCATCTCTCGGTATTTTCGTCCAATTTCATCGTCCCTTCTGAAAGAAGCGACTGTTGAACTCTTGATGAGACTCGAGGAGCGCCGGCGTCTTTTGCTTCTTCGGTTCGAGTCCGAGCAGCCGCTGCACCTCGGCTTCAGAAGTCCCCGCCAAGTGTCTGATGACACGCCGCGCCGCTTCTCGGTCTTTGAACCTGCATCTGAACCGGCTACTTTTTCAAAGGCGATTTGAAACATGTCGCACATGCAATTCGCAAGCGCACCGCGACCGACGGCTTTGAAATCCAACAGCCGCTTCGCGGTGTTCCTCAAGCCACTGATGACAAAGGACACGCGGTCGCGGTTGACAGATCGCCGTCGTCGCGCATCTGTCAAGTGCAAAGGATGCGGACTCCCTTCAACGGGCAGACTCTTTAGCGAGGGCTCTCTCGAGGTGACTCGCTCGACAGAGGAAGACAGAGCGAAGAAAGAAGCACGCATTAGCGCTTGTAACGCGGGCGCAACATTCACCGAGCTCTGTACCAAGGGGGAGGGCACCTTGTTGGTGGGGGAGCCTCTGGTTACCACCGCGGGGACCCTCGTCCTGACTCCTGGTTACAAGGAGGACGTGGCGGCGGCGGGGGGGGGGAGGTACGCGGGGCGATTGCGTAACAATGCACCGCCGCCACCTGCACTCGTTTCGTCACACGGCTTTAACAGGCTCGACGGTGGTTGGCCGGCCGGCTCGCATTACTTTCGCCAATTAAGCCCGCACGGCCGTTGTAATTTAACTTGCGAATATGAAATTCCAGAATTATTCGGGATGCCAGCGACGCGAGTCGCGAGGCGCCGGCTCTTCTTCTCCATCTTTGGCCTTTCGGCGAGGGGGCGGTTGCGCAAGGGCGGAAAAATCGACGGCGGAGGTTCGCGCGGACGGTCGTCCTCGGCGCTCTGCTGCAGCGCGAGCGGGTGTACCTGCGGATGCTCCTCCGAGTGTCACGATTGCCAAAGCTGAACACGCGGCTCTTTGGGAAACGGATCCAAATGTAGAAAGGAACGACAAGTGAGAGTCTCACCGCGGTTATTAGTGCGCGACTATCGCGTACGTATGTAATGGTTAAGAAGTAACGCAACGAATAATCCGTCAACAATCGACCAGTCGACCAGCGAGTGACGTCGACACTTTTTTCGCGTTTCGCGCACGTCGGCTACTTTTTTGATCACGCTGCTGCTATCAACGCCATTTCTAATCGCTCGCGTCTGTGACAATCGTTGCAGAGGGTCATTTGTTGCTCAACATCCCGAGTAGAAAAATTAATAGGGCCTGATTATTTTTCCCTAACATTAATCGGGCCCTAGTAGAGACAGAAAGGTAAGGACCCTGCAAGATGTGTAACAAACGATTTAACGGATCTTTAGAAGGCAATATTTTTATTATTGCTTGAGTTAAAATATTCGTTCTTTTCATTCCAAGAGATTTAGACTGCAATTTTTCTATTTCTTTATAACCTTGTTAGTATACAACGAGAATTTTTTATTTTAGAAATATAGCATACTTTACAGTAAGATATAGCATTCTTTACACATAAAAATCCTGCTACTGTTTTTATTGAAGTTTGCTGTATTTAAAAACAAAGGCAGTACTAAAAAAAATCCTTGGAATGGACTAACGAATATGGCAACTAATGAAACTAATAAAATTTGTTTTTAATTGCGGTATAATTAAAAAATCTGTAAAATAACCAGATAGAGCGTATCTACTAAAACAATACTAGATTATGACAATTTTATTATGCGCTTCAGATCTTGTTAATTTTCTATAACAAAACTTGATTTTGTATATGTAAAGTATCCTTTTAAAAAATCCTTCCAAGGCTCTCATCAGTTTTCTTCATCAAAGTTTTATTTCGCAAAATCTAAGGTATCCCTAAAAGATTCACCTCGGGGCCTGATGCGGTACGTAATAATGAGGCATCCCTTTTTAGGGCATCCTACTTCCAGCCTTATCGGGGCCTTGTGTTTCATGAAGATGGCCGTAACAATTTTTTGCTCGGGGTCGAGATGTGCGCTTGTTGCTCTTTCCCTGCGATAATAATTATCCGCTGCCGTGTCTTTGTATCTGTTACTTAATTGTCATGGATTTCATACTCATCGCACTGATACGATAATCGAGCCGTCTTTGAACATTCAGATTGTGCTCCGCGCTGAATTGGCAATGTCCATTCAACTCTTTGCCGGAGCGCGACTCCGAATTGACGAGTGTCGCGAATTTGTATCTCGCGTTCGTATTTCGCAAGCGCGTACCACACACACAACCGCGCCGGTTATCGATGCGTTTCGGGGGAAACAAAAGAGAAGAGAGAGTACGCGGCGCGACAGGCTTTGCGACATCGCATATCGTGACACTTGACATGACGACTATCGCGAGGATTAAGTATGTCGGTAGGAATCCTGATTATCCGAATTCAAGTGCTGTATTAAATTAACGTCGCGCTGCAAGCATGACCATTGCAGAAGGTCCGGCGGGAGGTGACGACATCGAAGCTTCCGAAGCGGCAGCTGCGGAAAAAGAGATGCTGGTGAATGTGAATTGTCCGATCAGGATAGTGCTCAACTACATAAGAGAAGTCGCGCAGCTGAGCGGCACGTACAGACGGCGAGCTGCCAGGACGAAGTCCTGAAATTGTAATTTATCGATTGGACGAATAAAAGATTCTTACCGCTGCAGGTGAATTCGATTTATGCGACGAGGCGAATTGCCAGTTGAGCAATGTGTCCTCCTACGGGCCAAGCACGCGGGCGACGGATGTTCTTCAGGCGGACGTGACATATTTTATCGTCAGCTTCCAACGTGAGCGATGCGATTAATATTAACGTATTATAATTACACGCAAAATGTCTTCTCAGGCGACGAGAGCGGCCAGATGGTAAATCTCACGCCGCTCCTAACGGCGAAAGCGGCGAGGAGGTGTTGCGAGATTATGGCGAAAACGCGAAGACCGTCGCGGAAAGCTACGTCCGTTAAAAGGAACAACAATGCGAATAAATCTATCGAATGAAGCGTGCCACTTGAGAACCGCTGTAATATAAGTGATTTGCGCTTTCTGGCTCTGCATTTAGATGAATTTATATGCTGGAGCGTCCTTTTTTCGACCGAAACAACGTCAATGTGTATATATATATATATATATATATATACAAATTGATAAATATCTACAAATACATAAATTAGGAAATGCAATGTGAGGAATATGAATTAACGTAATCAAGTAACCCCAGTAATACAATTGTTATTGTGTCGTATTAATTAAAAATAAAGATTCTTGTCATTGCCTCTTCTGCCGCTCGGAGGAAAAATAGCGCGGTCGACTTGTCGTTGAATCGTACTACTACCTTGTTTTGGCGACGGACGTTTTGGAGGACGGTGGCGGCTCGTAGCGGAGACTTTGGAACTAAAGAATTTGACTGACAGACCTAACCGGTTTGCTAATTGCCAAGCAATTATCTAACGTTGCAGCACAAAAGTACTAAGCGACTATTAGAACACCTGGCGACATTTAGCAACGTTACGAAGAACCAATAACTACTGAAAACATAAACACGCTTATCCTTTTGACCGTTTAAACTATTTAATACGCCGTGTCAATACGTAGATAATGAAACGCTGTAAAACTGAAAAATAGTTACTTTAGGTACACTATCGGTGAAGGGAAAAATTTGAGGGTACCTTCATCTTATGTAATTTAACGAGTACTATCGAATACAATTCTAAAAGTTTACAAAAAATGCTTGGTTTAGTTTTTCGTTAAATTTTACGGAAGTCGGTAAATTATGGTTCGAATCTTGGCTAAAACCAGCTGTTTAGCCGAGACTTTGACTATAATTTACCGGCTTCCATAAAATTTAGCTGAGGTTCGAACCATAATTTATCAGCTTCCATCAAATTTAGTAGACTAAGGCCCAGTTCCACAACTTGCTTTAAACTCCGTTTAAAGCAAGTTGTGGAACTGGGCCTAGGTCAGGCGTTTTTCATAAACTTTTAAGATTGCTCTTGATAATTTAGATCATTAATATGAATTTATACGCATTCAGGAAAACGAGCACATTTCTTCTTCTTTATATAATACTTTGCTGCTGATACTAGATGAGGTGCATCAACTGAATACAATTTCAATTTTAATAATTTTAATTAACAAACTATCATCTAAGGAGTAATCAAGATGAAAATATATCATGGAATAATTGATTTTGCAAGATGAAAATAATCAAAGTGATATCTATTCCGAATTACACGAATATCTAATTATTATACTAAATATATCGCGTTATGTATATTTAATCTAAAATTTTGGTCTATAATAAAGTCTCATCAATTTCCCTGATACTCTTGTCGTACGGCGTAATATTGTAAGTCTTTCCATGCTTTCCTATACCATCCTCAACAAATGTTTTGGCACCTGAAACACCCTCCTCGAACACCAAGTGCGACGCGTTATCCTTCTCGAATTGTAGCGCTTCGTCCATTTGCTTCGCGGAGAAGGTAGCGAAATGCGTTGACGCGCGATCCGCGAGCAGAGTCTTCGGCGGGAACTTCACGAGAGACTTTGCCAAATTCACGGCCGAGCCTAAAGCTGGAAGAGGAAAACGAGATATCGATAAGAATGCTTATAAATCCACGTGTTTCTTCTTGCAAATTTCAATAGTTTCCATAATAAATCTCACTCGCACCTGTACCGTATGAAGTAATTTTATTCGCAAGACCCCAATTAAACATTTCCTCCGCAGATAATAGTCTTCCTGTCAATATGAGCTCCATAGCTCTAGAATATCCAATCATAGCAGGCAAGCGCACGGTACCTCCGGATAAGATCGGAATGCCAAAGCGTCTATTTAAGAAACCAATCATTGCTGTATCTTCTACGACTCTCAAGTCGCACATGAGAGCTAATTCGAATCCTGCACCAATTGTGTATCCGCTCAGAGATGCCACCAGTGGTTTCTTCGATAATTCATTTCTATACGCCTGCAATGATAATCAAAGAAATCCTCGCTATTTTTAGGAGATGCACAACAGATGCATAGACAAAACAATATAAATCATAAGCTTTACCAATGGGCCAAAATGCGGCAAACTCTCTTCGTTCTCGCCGTCGTAATTTGCAATCTCATGCAGATCATAACCGGCGCAAAAGTTGCCACCTATCCCGTGCAACACCGCCACTGCTGCTTCCTCGTTACTCTCGAATTCGTCCAACGCTTCCGACAATAACCGCGCGGTCGTGATGTCCAGACTATTCTGCTTCTCCGGCCGGTTGATGCCGATTGTGGTTACCCGGTCAATTCGACTCACCACTATTGTTTTCTCTAGAATGGCACGCGTTGCGGACGATCGTGTAAACGCAAAATGTCATGTAATTTCAAGTACATACTGCTACATACTTGACAATTAAAATAATTACCCGTATCCTTCTCCGCGACCGTACTCGCGTTTGGCCGAGAGGTTAAGGTTCGTCGCACATGATGCCTCAGCGTCCGCGCGAACGAGCGGTGCAACTTCCTCAGGACATGCATTGCTTCAACCAGCGATATCTCCTACGGCCGACTCTTCTCTTCAGTGCGATTCGACCTGTGAATTACGTCGCATAATCGCAGCAACCTACCGAGACGAAAGAAACGCAGAGGACGGAGGCAAAGCCGGAGACGCCGCCGCCGCCGGCGTCACGATCGAGTCTCGATTGCGAGCGTCGATGTATCGAATCGCAGATTCGATAGTAACTCGCAACGTTCGATAGTATTCAAAATCAAGCGACGCCGAAGCTATACATTAAAATTACGTTATGCATAGCTTGTGGACGGAGAAATTACGATTGCAACTTGGCCCGCGCAGTGCTGTGCTGCGAGTTTCGAAGCGCATCCTTTTCTCAAGGGAAAATTCTCCTGTTGAATTGAATGAGGCGGATAGATTAAATAAGTACCGAGCGCAGCGCGCGATGGTATCACGAATAAAAGTTCGAATAGCGACCGCAATCAGAAAAAAAATATTAAAAAAAGTTCTTAAAAGTATTAACAAAACATTTAGAAAACATTTTTAAAACGTTAAGAATAATTTTAAACGAGTTATTAATGTAAAATAAATATTAAATAAACATTAAATAAACGTTAAATAAATATCTCTTCTTAATCGTAATTTTAAATAAAAATTAATGTAGAATAAACATTAAATAAGTATTTGTGACACAATGAACGGAGGAAATGTGGAAAAATGTAAAATAAATATTTAAAAAACGTTAAAAAAATATTGTCTGCTGACATTGGGACGCTTCATCGTGTTCACGGCTGGAAATTCAACGCTTATTACGCGCGGTGTGGATTTCTCAACTCCGGTGCGGAATAACTTCACGCGTGTCAAGGCTCTCGTGCCGATTATCCTCTCGCGTCCCGGGGCGCACTTCATGCCGATCCTTGGCGGTCGATCGCGTGGAATCCAACAGCGAGCCTTGCCGACGACGGAGCCGACAAGCGTGCAACATACACGGCCGAAGACACGCGAGAATCCCGGCTGACGACCGCCTCGGGGGAGAGATGAGGACGGGCCAAGCTGAAGCCGGGAGATGTGGGATCAGCTACCGGAGCTGATACTGACGCAGATATTCGATCATCTCGACTACACCGATCGCGTCAGCGTCGGCGAGGTCTGCCGGGCATGGAACCGCGCGCTCTCCTCGCCGGTGCTCTGGCGATCCGTCAGGATCGTCATCGATCGCGACCTCCGCGAGGACTTCTCACCGGCGGCGATATTGACCGTAAGAGCATTCTCCGCTTCTCCAGGGCCAAAGTTCGCTTAAGCAGAGTCGGTGGAGCCGGTTGTGCAGCACACGAGGGATGCCGGCAGATCTTCCAGGGAAGACGTACCGTCGCCTTCCTCCTTTCAGACTTCCTTCAGACCTTTGACAGCCACGATTCCGGTAGCCGAGAGGCTGTCACAGCGTGGTTCCTCGTCTACCATCGCCTGTTATCGTTCGCGGTATCGGTTACTGAGATAACACAAACTTCTAAAAGGCATCTCTTAAAGACGTCTCAGAGATCGGAACTCCTTCTTTCCGCAAAAACTCGCGTTAATTCCGGCTGATGTCCGTCGTCTCTCCGTCCATCTATTATCATCTCGCGTCCATCCTTCGCTTCTAACAAGACGTCCAAAGGACGCGCTCTTTAGCCCGCTGCCCGGGCAACGTCCGCGTCTGTCTCTCTCCTGCGGCGAGAGTGACAGCAGCTCGTCGATTGATCGTCGCACTTCCTCCCGTCGCAGGCGAAGTACGGGCAGCATATGCGCAGCCTGGAGCTCACCTTCTCGCGACCCTACATCTACCCGAGGATCCTGCACCGCGTCAAGCTCGCAGTACGCAGCGCCCCAGCCTTGGCCGGCGCCGGCTTTCTCGCGATCGTCCGCACTAAGGATGTGCAGCTGCGGCGGCTGACGTTGACGAATTGGGCCTTCGCCTACAACCGGGGAACGCTGCTCGGCGCGTTGGCGCGCTTTCTGCGGTGATCAAATCGTTCCTCCGTCGAGCTCGCGTCACTCGCGAAAGACCACGTAGAACTGTATGTGGATTACGGAACTCCTCCTCTCTTTTCTCTTTCCCTTGCAATACCGCAGCGGTCAACGCAATCTCGCGACGCTGTGCCTGCTGAACGCCGACTTCGGTGTGACGGATGTCTTGCGTATGCTGGGGGCGCTCGCCAAGGAGTCGCGCGAGCACCTGGCCTCCTTGGATCTGCGCGGCGCTTTCAAGGAGTGGCAAGCTCCCCACGACAACCGGAGGTACGCGGGAATAACAATCCACTATTTCGATTATGTGTGTATAAATCGCTAATTGCCCGATTTCAGGAGACAACGCCGGTGACGATGAAATGTCTCGCATGTTATAAATTGCATATTACATAAATTACCGGAAAATAGATATAAATTATATGGATGATCGGGAAGCTCTCTCATCGATAACAACGAAATGCCTCATGAATTATTACACGTCGCGTTGAGTAAATAATGATAATTTTGTCGCTCTCGCAGGTACCTCGGCTTGCTGAGCCGCTTCCGTTCGTTGAGCCTGCTGAAGCTGGATTACCCGGCTCTGTCGAATCAGGTGCTCCACGTCCTCGCGAGCGATGCGTCGAAGACGCTGAAGAGCCTGCACGTATTCGTGAGGGACTCCGACTCCAGGCAGCACACGCTGGCGGACACCGCTTGGCGCAGCTTGGCGTCGGCGTGCCCCGATTTAACGGTGTCTTACACTATAGGTATAACAGAGCGTTGCCGAATAGCGTGCTTCGAATTACCGCTTAATGCAGTGCCTATGATGGTATAATTGCATAATGATGATAATCACATTAAGGTAATTATTCTTAGGCGTTATATAATCACATCACGTTTGCTAATGTAATCAGCATGAATGCGCTCGAGCTTCGCTCTCGAGCGACGAGAGCAGATTCTCGCCCGTCGTCGATCAGGTCGATCAGGAGGGAGAGGGAAAGCTCCTATAATTACGCAATAAGTCGCAACAATTCGCTACGATTGTCGTTAATAAGCGGCCGAATCGCCGCGTGATCGGACTCTGCTTCCGCTGGAGCCGCGAGAATGGAGTCGCGCCATTTAGCTTTTCAAGTTTGATTTCCAGTGAACATCTCGCACTTCGAGGACATGTGCTACCTGCTGCTACCCAGCGTGCCTCTGGCCGAGTTTCACATGTTCAGCGGTTACGTGTGGGACCAGAGCAGGTCGCGGAACTTCAGGAGCACGATCGCCCTGCTGATTGCTCAATACACGAACACGCTAGGTACCTACTCGCATTCGCCGGTTTATCCGCGCGCGCGCGCGCACACCGTCGTCGACTTTATCACTTGCTATTATTGCGACTTGATGATCTGGCGATGATAATTCCGCGAATTCGCCGAGGTCTCGCGGCGAGGCGATCCAATCTCGCGTCTGCCGTTGCGGATTGATTAAAAGAGAACGTCGATTGCACCAGGCAATTGTATCTAGGCGTCTACAAGGAACGCTTCCCTTTCACAGTCGAGGTGATGCTGCAACTCCGAAATAATCGCGAATCGCTGGACGATTTATTGGTGTCCATGTTGCTGCGGTGCAAGCGCCTGGCGAGATTGCAGTACGACGGGATCATAAGGAGCCTCGATACCCTGCGCGAAATATGTCAGCTCCAGGCCGAACACAAAACACGTGAGTCGGCGAGGCGCGCGTTGCGTTCGCGTCGGCGTTAGCGACGGCGAACAACACGAGACCGAGACGAGAACGTGATTGCAGGTTTCAAGACGATACACGTGAAGCCTCGGGATGTCAATCTGCGGAATCGCGTCGTGCTGAACGATATCAATTATCAGTACGATCGCAAGATGCACGAGCAAGGAGTCGACTTCCGGCTCGAGGATCCCACCTCCATTTTATTCTTCTATTGACGAGTCTCTCCGAGCGCCGAGCGACGCGTCTCCTCCGTTGATTTTTGCGACTTTTGCGAAGATCGGCGTTGAAGCTCCTTATTTTGATATCAGTTTTTTTTTTCTTTGTGAGCATCATGAAAGAGAATGTATTTTTTATTGAACAGTTTAATGGTTCTTAAAATTGTTTAAAACTGAGATTCTGTATGTCTGCACTGGCATCCGCATGGGAGAAAAACTGGGGTGTATAAAAAAAAGTAAACATATTAAAATTAATGATTGACACCTACGTGGAAAATTCTGATGTAAAGTTTATAGTCAGTTCAGGCGCGTGCGAGGTTCTCGTTTTATTCGGCGCATAATAATTGCTGAGCGCGTAATGAACGACGAGACGCGAATAAATGCACACAGCGCGTGATTATTGATGAGAAAAATCTGCGACATAAATGATATTCACCGTCGGGATTTTGTATTACACTTTGGAACACGCGTGTTACACGTGTTAGAAATATTCTCTCTGTTGTGGAAATTACAAAATAACTCAAGTAATTATCGACAGATGCATCACACTGAGCGTTTTAACGAAGAGTCTTTTCTACCTCACGGTTCGTGTTTAAAAGAAAATAGTTTCTTCTTTATTCAATAATACACCGCGTTACAACGTTTGTGCGATTACTTACCGTTGTAAGTGATATGTCGTCAACATTTAAAACGGGGGACACCGATTCTATTTTCATTATAGTCAATGCCGCGAACGCGGCTCTTTTCCTTTGTTACTAAGATAATAAAATACATTTCTCTATTCAGCGTCCTGAGAGGTGCGCACAAGAATTCATCCGAAAATCATCACTCAAGGCCACAGCACACAGAAAACAACAACGGTGAAACCCAACCAGTCAACCCAGCGAGTCGTTCAATTCCGTTCAGAAATGATTCAATTGTCAAATTAACATTAGAACCATTATGACACTGACATTTTCTCGACTGTGATCGATCGATTGGCTGAAGTCTCGCTGTTTGCGTTTCTCCACGTTTCTCAGGACTCGACCAAGGCGTCTCACCGTCTCGCCGTTCATCCAAACGACGCTGACGAGGAACTGAGGCTGAGGAACCAGAGCACGCTTCAAGTTTCTTCTACACGACGTTTCTCAAACGTCGACGCTGGCGACACTGAGTCCCCCTCGGCCTCACGAGCAAGTCGTCTCAGCGACAGGACGTCATGTGAGTGTTGAGGACGGTTCGCGTGACGAAGCCCTTGCCACATTGCGGACAAACGTACGGCCGTTCACCCGTATGGTAGCGTTTGTGAACGACCAACGTGGACCTTTGGGTGAACGCCTTGCCGCACTGGTCGCACGAGTACTTGCGCTCCCCGGTGTGAGTGACGTTGTGGGTCCTCAGCAGGGTCTCGCAGGCGAAGCCCTTGCCGCACACCTCGCAGGTGTACGGCTTCTCGCCGGTGTGCAACCTGTTGTGGATCTCGAGGCCCTTCGCGGTCTTCAGCTCCTTGCCGCAGAGCGCGCAGAGGTACCTGCATCTCTCGCAGCTGACTGGGGCGCCGTGCACCTTCCCTTTGTGCTGCTTCAGCATCGACTTGTACTTGTACACCTTGCCGCAAACCTCGCACTTGTGCTCAGTCGCCTTCGCGCCGGCGGGCTTTTTCGCTTTCCTGACTGCGCTCGCGGGGTCGTAGTGGTGCAGACGATTGTGTTCCTTTAAGCTACGCGTATATTTTTTGTCTCTTTCTCTCGTCGCGACAGTCGCACGATATATTTCGGCAGATTTTGTTTAAACTAAGGCTTTCAAGCTTACGGTTTCTGCTAGGAAGTGAAAGTTCGGACATACCTGCTGACGTCGTCGAAGACGCTACTGCAGACGCTGCATCGTTGACTTGGCATAGAGTTGTGCATGTTCGTGTGCGCGATCAGAGTGTCCTCGTCTTCGAGGTTCTTGAGGCAGATGTCGCAGGTGAACTTGAGGGCACGATGAACCCGCTTGCAGTGCCTCTCCACGTCGGTCGCGCTCACGCCCATGAAACCGCACTCGTCGCACGGCATCGTCTTCGGCGTGTGCGACTTCTTCACGTGGGCGTTCAACATGAACTGCTGGGGGTAACTCTTGCCGCAGGTGACGCACTCGAAGGGCCGGTGAATGTCGTGCGCAATCCGCAGGTGCGCGACCAGCCTGGAGACGAAGTAGAACTTCTCCTGGCATAGCTCGCACGTCTTCGCGATACTCTCGAATCTGCAAGCATTCGAAGTGACACGCGTGCCCGCAACAGACCGTTCTCTTCGCGTCAGCTGAAGAACCCGTCAGGCCGAGCCGACCTTGTCGTCTGATCCAACAAGGTAAGACTGACACCTGGTCTGATGAAAACCGTCGTTGTTATGTGCGTTCAAACAATTAAAGAAATTCTCTTTATTATTAAATTTGAAGCTTTGCTCTCTACCGAGGATCCTCCCTGATGAAAACAAGCAGAAATCAACAAGACCTTAAGGAGAAAAGAAAAGGTCAAACGGTTTATCGTTAAAAATTGTAAACCAAGATACATTCTAGCGGTTCTAACGGATTACGATTAAACCGATCACCCGAGCGTTTCATTCCGCCCATTGTTTTGTGATTTGTTTAATATGTAAAATATTAAAATTAATTAAAATTAGTTCGCACGGGCCTATTGTGACGATCGCAACTCATGAACACTTGAACATATCAGAAAAATAAATAACATGCAACTCACTTCTGCCGCAGATCGGACAAGCCAGTCTCGTTGGTCGCTTCCACGTCGATGCAGCTGGAAAGCTCATTGTGATTATTCGTCGGTCGGCTGCAATAATCGAGACAGATATTACACGTTTTACACGAAACATCACAGATCTGTAAAAGTAATTCTACTTCGTTTGCCCGAAAACTCGCATTCTGTGGCCGACGACGACGCCACGACGCCTGCGAACGGGCTCGCTTGTCTTAACGGAGAAATTTATTTTACATTAGAATGTAATCTTAATTAGTCTCGACTAAACGTAAATTCATATTTCGTTAAACATACTCCTTTATTTACAAAGCTTCATTACAAAAGATTACAATCGCACAGGGCAGGCTGCAGGTTTATCACATCATCGTAAACACCGATTGAAATGAAAAGAATGTACACGTTACATTCCACAATATCGCTCTTATATATATATAATAATATAATTATATCCTAAAACTAAGACTAAAATCTCCCACGGCTGAAGAGAAACCGCGAACGACGTCGTGGACTCCGAAGTTCAATCGAACCACTCGAAGAGGGATAAGAAAAATTTACTCACCACCTTCGAGTTTCTCTTTTCAAAGTTCTCAAAGTAAAAAACACACGCGATGTTCTCGCTATTTCATACACTCAGCTGCAATCTACACCGCAGAGAGAAACACTCCCCCCTCTGTCTACTACACAAAGTAACTAACACTTTTGCACAAGCAAGCCCTTGCTTGTGAAGCCTCCGTTAGCGCCGTCGAATGTCAGAATTCTACACGATCGGTCGACCGAGCGTGCCTCTTCAGGTCTCCGGCTGCGCGGCGGCGGCGGTAGTCTTCTCGTGCACCTTGCGGTGCCTCTTGACGAAGGAACTGGACACGAAACCTTTGCCGCAGTCAGGGCACTGATACGGCCTTTCGCCCGAGTGGAAACGCTGGTGCAGCACCAGCGACGTCCTCTGCGAGAAGCCCTTGCCGCACTGCGAGCAGACGTACGGTCTCTCGCCGGTGTGCGTCCGCTTGTGGATATTCAGGTTCTCCTTGCTGGCGAATTTCTTGTCGCAGGTGTCGCACTGGAAAACCTTCTCGCCCGTGTGGGCACGCTTGTGCACGATCAAGCGTCGCCGGGACGACAGCTCGGCGCCGCACAGGTCGCACAGGTGCTTGACCGGCGGGCTCGAGAGCCCATGCTGGTTCTTCATGTGCTGCGTCAGCAGCCTCTTGTAGACGAACCTCTCCGCGCAGAGCTTGCAGACATGCCTCGCGCGCGCGATGCCCTTCGCGCCGGCCGGACCGGGCTGCTTGTTGGCCGCGTGCTGCGTCGCCAAGTGCACCGACAGGTTCTTCTTGTAGAGGTAACACTTGCGGCAGTGCTCGCAGCGGTAGAGCTTCTTGTTGGTGTGCGCGTTCCGGTGCTCCAGGTACTCGGTCCTGTGGTAGAAGCTGCGCTCGCAGCTCTCGCACTTGAAGCTGTAGTCCCGCGCGTGCCGGCGACGGTGGCACTCGAGGTTGGACTTCTGGTTGGTGCTGTAGTCGCAGAGCTCGCAGGTGAACACCTTCAGCCCGGTGTGGATCAGCTTGTGGCGAGCTATGTTCATCGGGCTGCGGAACGTTTTGTCGCACTCGTCGCAGCTGAAGGCACGCTCGATGTTGTGCAGGTTCTTCAGGTGCTCTACGAGCTTCCGCGTGTGCCGGAAGCAGGCGCCGCACTTGACGCACTGGTGCACGGCGCGCGTCTTGCCACGTCGTTGTCTGAAACGAGGAAGGACCGCGGTGAAACATCGAGACGAGCTCTGCGCCGTAGGGTCTAGAGTCTCATTAAAGCTGTGTTCATGATCGTGCTTTGTTTAATAATCTATTCGTTAAGGCTTATGACGTATCCTGTGAAAAGTTGCGCGTGTCTCAAGTAGTTCGGTTCATCTCTTCGTTCCGCCGACTATAACCTACCAGTCCTCCCGGTGGAAGTTGTCTCCGAACGACTGGATGCTACGAGAAACATCGGCGATATGATCAACGGTGTAATCAGACATTAGCATGTCTGTGAAAATCGGCTCTCAGAAGCCTTCACTTCGAACGAATTGCGCCTCGATCGGTCGTGATTCGGGGGCGAGTTACTCTGTGTCGGAGCAACGCTCGAGTTTCCGTTCCTTTTAGCTCCGTATAATGTAGCAAGACAATTGGATAATGGTGACTTTTATTTGACCAAGCAAATACAGTCGTTTTTATATACACCGCATGAAGATTTGTATAATTTGTAACTTTCGATTTCCCTTCTTCTTTCTCCCCTCGGAATCACGCGGTGTCTTGCAGAGAACTTGCGCTTCCCCGAGCCCTTCGATCTTTGCGACATATTTTTTCTTCTATAATTCAACGATTCATTTACAAGGATCATTATATTACACAGGCTGAAATCTCACTCTTCGTAAAATGTCCTGCACTCGTGTGAATGCGTGCAGTTAGTTCGGTACGACGGTACAATAAAAATAAGATTATCAACTTAAATATCACTACTAATACTTACGTTAACATCGCGCAACAAAGAACAATTTTATATTGGGCGTAAGAAAAACTTCGACTCAGTCTCAGAACATCCTTTGACACTGGAAGACCACGCGAATGGAAGACTCGCGCGTAAATTCCGGACATGGACCCAAGGCCGAATTCTCACTTGCTCGCTCACGACGACACGCACCACAGTTACCAGACGCGAGAATTAGTTATCTAACGTTATCTTATCCTGCTGCTGAGCAGCAGGAACACCGAGTTCCTGCGTGAAGTCCATGATTATCTTCTTGATGGACACCACTGGTAACGGCGGTAACGGTCCGGGGTGGCGCTTTCTATGGCAGATGAGTCCGGGCTTCTGCGCGAAGGTCTGGCCGCAGATGTCGCAGATGTACGGCCTCTTGCCGGTGTGTATCAACATGTGCTGCTCTTGCGCGGTCTTCCTGGGGAAGGTCTTTGCGCAAACTGGACAGGAGAACGGCCGGATGCCCTGATGGATCCTCAAGTGAAGGTCCAAGTCCCTCTTCTGACCGAAGGTCTTGCCGCAGGTCGGGCAGATCACCTTCTCCTTGCGCTCGTGCCAGATCAGGTGCTGATCCAGGTACTCCTGCGTAGTAAGGCCGCGCTTGCATATCTTGCACTCGTATGCCGGCTTGTAGTGCCGATACTTCATGTGCGCCTTGATCGCCGGCACGTTCTTACAGGCGTGGCCGCAGATGCTGCAGATGATGGGCGGCTCGCCGCTGTGCATCTGATTCATGTGCTGCTTCAGGTCGTTCTTGATCTTGAACTGCTTGCTGCAGACCGTGCACGAGTATTGGAAACTGGTGGTGTGCTTCCGTATGAAGTGGTCCTTTAAGGTGCACTTGTTGTTGCTCTTGTACTCACAGATGCTGCAGGGATACAGGAGAGGCCCGTGAGCCTTCTCCACGTGGCGCTTCAGGTCTCGCTTCAGGCTGAAGCTCTGGCAGCAGGTTTGGCACTGATACTTGTGCTGGTTCATGTGCTTTATCATGGTGCTCTTCTGGCCGAACCGTTTGCCGCATGTGGCACACTCCAAGGAGAGCAACGGCTTCTTCCGCTCGTTCTTGTCTTGATGGAGAGTCTGTCCTCTCGGGATCTTCTTCGAACAGTGATCTTTTTGCCTCGGCGCACTGCTCAGTTTCCCCTTTCTCGTGATGTGACGTTTCTTCCTGCCGGGCAAGGAGTCGTACTCTGGTGTGCATTCTATGCTTTCGACCACGTAGTGTTCCAAGTTATTGACATCCGTAACGTTCAAAGGGTCCGCAGGCGAGTCACTAAAACACAAGTAACGATCGAGTTAAATAATGTCACACGCAAGACACGATCTACTGCTAAATATTGAGCTTACTTACTTGAAGCATTAAGTGCCGAATTTCTTTTCCAGTTTTTTTACTTGAAAATATTCCTAATCTACGAAGAGAACGGTGAAGTATCAAAATATAATTATGTCACGTTAAATCGCAAATGTGTTGGTTACGATTCACGTGAAAAATAAATAATTAGTATGAAAGACTTTACAACAAGTCTTCTTGATAAGGAGAAAATTAAACAAAGAGATCAAATGGAAACAAAGAGATAAACGGATTGACAAGAATTTTCTCTTATACTCATCTGAAAATTTGTCATCGACATATGATCCATGATAACTTATACTCTCTGCACAACAATTGCAATTCCATTGTTGCACTAAGATTCATTGTTCAACGACAGGCTTAATATCCATGTTGAATCATGTTTCATAAACCATGTTTATCTCAAATAAATAAAACATCATACGTATCCTATATAATTGCCGTCCAATCCTTTTGCACGTATCGCACGTTCTCATCACAGAATGACTCAATAAATACATCAAAAATGCACAAAAAGATCGTGTATTTTTACAACAAACTCAATACAAAGTACAAAAATGTACAAAAAATTGTGCATTGTTAAACCAAGTACAAAATACAAGAAAAACTTGTAGAAAGCCATTCCGTCTCGAAAACTCAACGCAAAAAAGGCTGCAGGTTCAACAGGATTCTCCCGTTGGAAAATATTTCGAAGGCAGTATGAGCTTCTCTCTTTTTTCACTTTTCTCTCTCTCTCTCTCTTTCTCTCTCTCTCTCTCTCTCTCTCTCTCTCTCTCTCTCTCTCTCTCTCTCTCTCGTGTTTCTTTTATTTCGGATTTGCGGACCAATTGTGCGTGGAATTTCAGAATGTGGCGCTTCAACTGTCGCTTCAGACAAAAGTTCATGAGGCAGTTGTGGCAATTGTACTTGACTTGCCTCCTCATGTCCTCAGATTGAAATATTTGCCGCACGTTTCCGCAATTCAATGAGGAGCCCTTTTTCTTGTCAGCTATCTCTTGCTTGAGATTCGTTCTCTCACGTCTTGCTATGTTGCGTCGGTCATCCTTTTCCGTTCGCACGCCATTTATTTCTACGCATAGAGAAGATGTACCCCGATATCTTCTCTATTTTCAGCGGAGAATCAACCCGAATTATGGATATCCAGAAGAGTTCGCAGAGTGCATATGCGAATTACTAAAACACAAATTACATCGAATTAATTAACATCGTTAAATTAATTAGTACCACATGCAAGTCACGATTTACCAATAAATATTGAGTTCACTTACTTCAAATGTCAAGCGTTGAATTTTTTTTCGAGCCTCTTGAACTTGAACATATTCCCATTCTATGAAAAAAGTCATGTAAAGCATGGAAATATAACTGTTACGTCAAAAATTGTAAATATATAAATTATATTTTACGTAAATTATGTAGTGTCAATATCAAAGAATCTTACGAACAGGATTTTTTTAAGCACCAAGATTAAGCAATCGAATAAGATAAATAAAAAAATTAAAGGATTTAACAAAAATTGAATGAATCGAAAGCAAGAATTTCTTTTTGTGTTCATCTGATGTTTTGTCATCGAAATAATCATCAGTGGTCACGATACTGTTTAAATAAAGATCATAATTTTATTATTGTATCAAGATTCATCGTTCCACAAAGGATATATTAATAATACGTTTCTTTTTCAAGCAAATGGACACATAAATAAAGATATATCGCGATGTATTTGGTCTGCTGTTTCTCTTTGCATGTAGCATTTGTTGCATATGGAACATCAATAAACGTATAAAAAATATACAGAAAAGAAGTATAGATTTATTACAAACTGTGTACAATAAAATATAATTAGACGACTTTGCAGAAGAACCACCCTATCACCATTCTCTAATTCTTTCTATGTATCAGCATGTACATAGCTAGACTTACAAAAAAGATTTCATAAACGTATGAAAAGTTATTGCATAATTATAATTAACCGACATCCAAATATATAGCCGTGAAACTCGTAGAGGAGATACTCGGTTTCAAAAAGGCGACACGAGAAGGTCTGTAGACATGTTTCCGATTAGACTTTCTCGTTAAATTAATCTTCTTTCCCTCTCGGCCTCTTGTATTCCTCTTTGATTATTATTATTTGATCTTGCTGACTGCATTTTTCTTCGTATATTCCTTTGTAAATTCCAAGATCCAGTTTTTGATGGAGACTACCGGCAATTTGGGCAATGGACCAGAGTGTTTCACCCTGTGTCGAATTAGATTATTTCTCCAGGAGAAAGCTATGCCGCAAACATCGCAGACAAACGGTTTCTTGCCCGTGTGGATCACTATATGTCGGAACAGTCCAGTCTCTAGTCTGAAGGTCTTGCTGCAGACGGGACAGACGAACGGCTTCACACCGGTGTGCATTAGCATGTGCGACTCGAGGTAATAAGCATGGTACTTCTTTTTGCAGATCGGGCATACCCTTCTGATCTCGTGCCACTTGAGATGCCGCTCGAGATCCTCCCGAGATGCCATGTATTGCGAGCAGATGAAACATTTGTACTCCGAGGCCTCGCAGGACAACGCAGTACCGTGCAAGCGACCGCGCTTGTCACGTTTAACTGACGAAACGTTGTTCTTATGGTTGTTCCTCATATGCAGACTCAACCTCGCCTTACTTTGGAACTTCTTGTAGCAAATACCGCAAGTTGCAAAGTCATCGCAGTTGCTCTTACGCTTTCCGTGATTTTTGCGGTTGATTAGTTGAAATTGATTTTTTACGGAGCGTTTGGGAGATTTGTGGGCCTCCTTCATATGGCACTTCAGGTCTTCCTCCAGGCTAAACCTCTGGCAACAGGTTTGACACTGATACTTGCCTTGCATCGTGCAATTTGTCACGGCGGTCTTACGGCTGAAATGTTCGCTGCACGCGCTGCACTCCACGGTGGATTTCAGCTTCTTCCTATCGACGATACGTCCTGACGACCAGCCGATCGTTTCCCTCCTCGCGAGACGTGTGCTTCTACGTAGAGGGGAAACGTATTCTGGTGTACACTCTGTACTTCCGACAGGCGAGAGGTTCCAGCTGTCGGCATTCGGAATGTTAGAAAGATCCGCGAAGAAATCAATGAAGTTCTTCGAATCCGGGATATATAGAGGATCCATAAGCGAATCGCTAAAACACACACATTACGATCGAATTAAACAATGACATGCGCAAGACACGATCTACCGCCAAATATTAAGCTCACTTACTTGAAATATCAAACGCGAAAATTCCCTTCTTAATTCTCTATTTAATAATATTCTTATTTCTACAAAGAGAACGCAAGAAGAAAGAAATATAATTATGTTACGCGTGTTACAAATCACAAATACAAGGTCATAGATTACAATGTATGTGAATGAAGCGAGCGACAACAAAAAGAGATCTCTTACAAGACTTTTTGATCAAAAATTTAATAACAAAGTAAGGCACAAGAAATAATAGGAATAAAGGAAATACATACAGGTTGAGTGAACCGGAGAGGAACAGTCTTCAATAGGTAATAAAATAAACATGTTATACATACATTTTAAGCACAGATGTTGTAAACATCATATATTTATATTCTAATGTTCTCCTATCACCGCCTATCACTTATCACACAGAGTCACTAAGTACACTAAAGAAATCTGAAAATTACTGGTTTATTATAAAAACAATACAAAAAGATACAAAAATTTGCAGAGAGATCTATCTTATATATTGCGCTTATTATTGCATACGGAAGTACAACGAATATATCAAGAATTTACTAGAACCGTAACTACTTATAAATCGAATACATAATACGATAGTAGTAACATTCATGAAAGAATAATTGAAAAGTCTACGTAAAAAGGGATTCTAAACTTGTTTGTCGCTTAACGATTTTCATTAAAAAACATTTTGCCGCAAAGCGGGCAACACAGATGCAATTTGAGATGCTGCTTCGAAATCCTTCTTCGAAATACTTATTCTGCGCTTGCAGCATCGGCAGATGAGTTTGGATTGGCTCTTCCTTTGGATGTTTCCTCCTACAGGATTTGTGAGCGGCGAGTTCCTTGTTAATGCAATCACACTTCTCGCACTTTACTATAACTTCGTGTCGACGTGGACCCATATCCATGTGTCGCTTCAGATTATTTTGATAATTGAACTTCTTGTCTACATGTCGTATTTGTAACAGTTCGTGTGCTTACATATGACGTTATTCTTGCATTTGCACTACATACATATGTTGCAGCGAGATATATGGTATCCCCAAGTCCTCTCATGGTGCTTTAAGTCTTTTCATAGCCTGCAACTCTGGTCGTAGATTTGATACGAGTAATTCTGCATGCTTTTGTGCCCTTTTATCCTGATTTTTCTTATTTAAACGCTCGCCGCCTTTTCCACCCAGCATTTTCTTCTTTGCTGATTATCCTTGAGCTGGCATCCTAGATTTTCGGAAAGTCCGAAACTGATAGCATAGGTATTGTTGTAAAGCGATACGTTCAAAACCAAGCCACGAGACTTATCGGATAGTTTATGCCAACACTCCAAAGTATGTCACTAAAACACAAATTATGATCGAATTAAATAATGTCACATCGGAGATACGATCTGCAGTTCAATATTGAGCTTATTCGTGATATCAAATGTTTAATCTCTCTTCCAGTTTCTTGAAAATATTTCTACTACGAAGAAAACGCATGAAACACGAAAACGTAATTGTTATGGCAGGTCGCAAATATATATGCAAGATTTATATGTAAATTACGTAGCCAATAAGAGGAAAAATATTTTGGTCAGTATTTTATTAACAAAGTTTAAGTAAAAAAGAGACGAGCTACAAAAAGAAATAAATTTGAAATTAAATGACTTGAAAAATCACTTCTGTTTTATATTCATCTAAAGTATTGTCAAGATATTCGCAGATGTTGGTATAACGATGCTCTATATCACAATCATAATTTCAATACTTTTGTACAATACTTTGTACAAGTCACTTTGTAAGTTTTTAATCGATACTACATTTATCTCAAATAAATGATTAAATATGTGTATGTAAGTGTGTCAAGGCATATCACACACGTGCGTGCACACACACGCACACATACACGCAGGCACATATAATCTACTATACATTCGTTTTGCAATTGTTTTCTAAAGATTGCACAAGATATTAATATATATTAAAAATATATGAAAATCATAAATTTATTGAAAAGATCGTACAAAATGCAATAAAAAATTCATAGAAAGACATTCGGTCTCGAAAACTCGACGTAAAAAGAGGCCGTGGGTATAATCCCGCAAGACTTCCTTGCAGAAAAACGCATTAGAATGCGTTAGAAACAACGCGAAGCACACAAATACACACACTCTCTCTTCTTCTCCCTCACGTGTTCCTTCTATTCGACCTTGATGACCGCTTTTTTCGTCGCGTACTCCTTCGTAAATTCCGTAACGATGCTTTTGATGGAGACCACCGGTAGTGGGGGCAACGGTCCGGGATGCCTCTTCCGGTGGCAGATTAAACCGGGCTTCTGGGCGAAGGCCTGACCGCAGATGTCGCAAATGTAAGGTCTTTTGCCCGTGTGGATCAGCACATGCTGCTCCTGAGCGGTCTGCCGTCGGAAGGTCTTGCCGCAGACCGGGCAAGGGAATGGCTTCGCGCCCGTGTGCACCCGCATGTGCGAGTCAAGGTCGCGGCCGCGGAACCTCTTGCCGCAGGTCGGGCACAGCACCTTCTCCCTGGTCTCGTGCCACATGAGGTGCTGCTCGAGATTCTCCTGCGTCGTCATGCCGCGCCTGCAAATCCGGCAGACGAATTCCGGCTTGTAGTGGCGGTACTTCATGTGAGCCTTCAGCGCGTGCAGGTTCTTGCTGAAGTGGCCGCATACGTCGCACACGATCGGCGGCGCGCCGCTGTGATGCTGCTTCACGTGGTGGTTTAACGCCTTCTTGATCTTGAATTGTTTGCCGCAGGTGTCGCACGAGTAGTCATAGCCGCTCGTGTGCAGTCGTATGTAATGATTTTTCAGGGTGCCCTTGTTGTTGCTCTTGTATTCGCACACGCTGCACTCGTACACCTGCTGCCGGTGGTTCTTCTCGATGTGCGAGATCAGGCAGCGTAGCAGACTGAAGGTCTTCGGACAGTCCGCGCATTTGTGCCTGTGCTGCTTCAGGTGTTCCGCGAGGTTGCTCTTGCTCGGGAACCTGCGGCAACAATGATCGCACTCCACGCACGTCGCCTTCCTCCTGGCTGGTCGATTTTCCGCGGCTATACGTCGCGGACTAGACGCTGCCGTAGTTATGTTCGTATTAGTCTCTTTCGGTCTCTGTTCCTCTTGCTCCGCTGGCAGCGTCTCGCCGTTCGTCCATTCGCACTCGACCCAGACGAGCGATTTCTCGACTGCGTTGGATTCGACATTCAACGGATCCACCATTCTAAAACATAAAAGGTGGACGTTTGCGTTACCGTTGGACTGGTAAATCGTCGAAGGTACGGTCTATCGGAGACGTCGTCGATGTTCGACGATGACGGAGGAGATGCTCGGGGTCGGTTTAATAACTATCGGAGACGGTTCGACAAAACGCGGGGTACACTTTATTCGGTTGTCGTCTCTCTCTCGTGTTACCTTCCTAATTCATGATTAGTAGTCCCGCATGGGTTTACGGAAGGCTGTGTTAGTTAGCGGCGCGCGTGCGGCTTTTCGCAATGCAACGTGAAACTTACGGACCACCTAGAAAAGAGCGCGTGTCAGTACAATGAAAAAATAAGACGTGCAATCAATTATGCGAACGGTGGCGGATTGCTGACTTACCTGACGGCGTGAGCGAGTCGATTAGACGAGTGCACGAGTGAGTACGTGTATTATGACTAAGAGGGGCATATTCGATCGAATAATCTCGACAGCGTAACTTTGACTCGTTAATCGCTCGTATATTTTTAAATGAACTTACGGCACACGCGTATTGCACCAATATTCATATATAAATCGAACCGCATTTTGTTACAAAATATAGCGTCGTAACATTATTAACAGAAAATCGCAGTATATATGTATGTATATATATACCTGAGAGAGAGAATCAACAAATATACTCTTATTCTATAACTGCGACCCGCGACAATATAATTGAAAACACTTATAAGTTTCGTCCTAAAAAATATCTCGAAAAGACCGCACAATTCTCTCCCGCGATTTCTTTCTTTTTTTTTTTCAATCCTTTTACTCTAGGAGAATCCTACCTCTATGTAAACCAAATGGAAAAGAAAAGCAACTCTCGCATTCGGTGTGTAACTATATACGGCGATGTCGTCTAACAAACTTGTGTGAACAGGACCACCTAATAAATTAATGTATCCCGATAAAAACTTTTTAGTACGGCGTGTTCCTCCTCCTTTATGCACTTATAAAAATGAAAACACTCTAGTTTTGCGGATAACTGAAATAAAGGGTCCCTTACGCTATCAAAGGTCAATATGTGTGTGTGTGTGTGTGTGTGTGTGTGTGTGTGTATGTATGTGTGTTTTCCGTGTCGTAAGTATCTCTTGCTGGTAGGAGGATGAATCCGGAGGCTAGAGGAAAACTCGCGTTGCAGGATATACGAATAAACAATTCGGACTCGCAGAGCCCGAACTACGAATTCGGCATGTTTTTGCTCTCGTTCAAGTAGTTCTTTACGAACTCGGTCACAATGTCCGTCACCGGTATCTCCGGCAGCGCTCCGAGCGGTCCGGGATGCGTGCTCCTGTGGCGCACCAGGGTGGCCCTCCGCGAATATTTCATCCCGCACACGTCGCACACGTACAACGGCGTGTTCATGTGCGTCAGTATGTGCTGCACCTGCACGCGCCGTTCCTCGAACGCCTTCCGGCAAACCGGGCAAACGTGCGGCTTGATCCTGCCGTGGCTGACCACGTGGCTTTTGAGGTCGCGCTTGTTGAGAAAGGACTCGCCGCAGGTGGTGCACACGTAAGTCTCCGGGTTCGTCGGCTGACCCGTGTTGTCGTGCCGACGCATGTGCGCCTCGAGGGAGGCAGCGGTGGCGACCCGTCGCTTGCAGATCCCACACTGGTAGCCGGACTTGAGGTGCACCAGTCTGGTATGCGTCTTCAGGGCGCTCACGCTCTTGTAGATGCGCCTGCAGATGGTGCACGCCACGGAGACGCTGCAGTGGTGTTTGTACATGTGCCTCTGTATGCCGATCTTCGAACGGTACTCCTTGTTGCAGATGCTGCAGTTGTTGTGCGTCGGGTCGAGGTGCCGCGCGGAGAAGTGCTCCGTCATGTCCGGCACGCTCCAGGTGACGGTGTAACAGAGTTGGCAGGAGTACTTGGCCTCGCCGTGATTCAGTACCATGTGAATCTCCAGCTTGTCGATGGCGACGAAGCGCTCGCCGCATATCCTACACGTGTTCCTGTGCAGCTGCGCGTGCTTCCTCAGGCTGCCCTTCGTGCGGCACAGGAACGAGCAGATGTCGCAGGCGTAATGCACGCGCACGGACTTGTTCATCGCCCTCTTGTTCTCCTTGCTGCCGGCTAGGTTGGCCGTCACGCCGGCGTTCGCCGACATCCTCGCCAGGAACGCGTGCGACATGTGCGAGCTCTCGATCTTGATGTCGTTGATCTGCAGCAACTGGGTGAACCTAAAAAACACAACAAATTCCTCGTCATTGTCGTGCTCGGGGATGCGAGAGAGATGCCTTGTTTCTTCCATATTTCTTTCTCCAACAATGTATGTGCTTTGTTGCTCGAAAAAACAGAGAAACAGACTTCAATTACAGCTGACGTTTGCGGAGGATGTAAGAATGTTCAACGTTTTGCAAGTTTCCAAGATTACACAGGAATTGTATACCAGTGGTCCTTTTAACGTCTCATTGTTAAAACGCGGTCTCGCGTTTGTTCTGATATTTCAGCATTATATACGCGCATCTTCGTTACAAACACGGTATGAGTAAAAAAAGACGCCGATACTATTAGTAATTGAAGACGAGCATTTGCAGCAGAAAGAACGGTTGTGCGGTCAGGGATACTACCTACATCATCAAGTCGCAATTGTCCACATCAGAAAACACCCGTCGCTCTAAATCGTAGGCCCCCGTTATCTTGTGCTAATACAGAAATAAGCCTTCGTGCTGTGTGTTACGTGTGAAAAGGCGCGCACTTACATATTCTAACAAGGAATATCTCAAAACGTCAATCTCATCTCCAACCTGTAAGAGAGCCGTTTCTCGCAGCGCGAGCAACGCTCGCAGCTGATCGCGCGGGACAGCCGCCAGATTCTGACAGACCGTCGCGCTTCAAACGCTGTCAATGCGTGACACACGTGATAACACAAACGTAAACAAGCGCGTGCACTCTCGACGCGTGTCTCTCATCATCTTAGGAAAGTGTACAAGTTCCATCCTTCGTAAAGTAAAATCAGTCTCTTAGAAACATGATGAAACAGAATCAAATTACAGTCGTAGAAACATAATTTGCATGACATCGTTTATTGATTCGTTACAGAATTCTCTCTCGGTACACATTTACAACACACACACACACACACACACACACACACACAAATACACATATGCATATATATCCCTCTCGCAACGAATGGCGGAGTCCTCCGCGTGCAAAAGTTTAAGGACTTTGAGTCACGTCCCTCGCCTTACTCCTTGTTGTCATTGTCATCACACTCTCCTTCTGCAAGTAAGTTTCTATAACGTCATTCACGGACTTGGCGGGCAACGGTGGTAACGGGCCAGGGTGCTTCTTCCGATGGGTGATCAGACCCGGCTTCTGGGTGAAGCTCTTACCGCAGACATCGCAGACATACGCCCGGACGCCGGTATGCGTGAGCAGATGCTGCTTGTATGTGCTCTGATTCTTGAAGGTCTTGTCGCAGGCCGTGCAGCCGTAGGGCCTGACGCATGTGTGATTCCTCATATGCACCTTCAGCGAGTCCTTGTTGCTGAAGGACTTGTTGCATTTCTGACAGATGAGTTGCTCAGGATCGTGCAGCTTCCAATGATGCTTCAAGGCCTCGCGGGACGTCAACATCTTCTTGCAAATGTTGCAGGAGAATTTGCGGTCGCCGTGCGCGTAGTTCATGTGCCTCTTCAACACGTACTCGTTCCGGGAGGTCTTACCGCACACCTTACACACCGCCACGTTCCTGTCCACGTGGATACTCCATATGTGCACGTACAGGTCATTCCTCATCTTGAAACACTTGCCGCAATCGTCGCACTCATACTTGCGGCCCTCCGTGTGCTTCCTCACCTGGTGATGCTGCAGCGACAGTTTGTGCTTGTAAACGGCGTCGCAGTGTTCGCAGCGGTACGACCGCTGCTGCTTCTCCGACGTGTGCACCTGCTTTATGTGCTGCTGCAGCTCACGCTTCAGTGGGAACCGCTCGTCGCAGTGTTTGCAGGAGTAAAGCAGATTCCTTGCGTGGCTCTTCAGCTGCGATGAATTCAACAGGTCGCACGTCCGTGCGTCCTCGTTTGCGGATTTGCTCTCGAGCGTCTGCCGAAACGTTTTCGGGCAGTTGTCTGTGCGCAGGTGGCTCTTCGATATCGAGTTTCTCGTACAACGCTGCCCCACGTTGCACTGGACAAGATCCAAAGCCATCACGTATTCTTCATATGTGATCTTTAAAGGATCCATGTCGCTTGTGTACCTGAAAATTTGAGGAGCGGCATTAACCATCAGGCATTTCGCGAGACCGCTCGGTGTGACAAATATACTTATCTCGTATTACAATTCTACAAAACGTTGCATGACATTTGGATCACCTTTGAAGGTAGATTATGTCCAAGGGATCTCGTCAAGCGTCCGCTTTGACGGCGAGAGAGACCCTGCTCTTAAAAGTATATCGATACATGCTAGAGTCAAACTGGAGTAAAAAATCAACTCTGCCCCAAAGGTAATTCATAGAGATCCGTGCTGTTGAAAATATTTATTTAAAACGGAAATCTGTGTCGTGTGTGTGTGTGTGTGTGTATGAGTGTGTGTATGTGTGTGTGTGCGTGCTCGTGTGTGCTGCAAACGCATTCGCCTTAGAAAAAATAATTCTGTGCCGCATGATCTATTCCTCTTTTTTTTCCCCCTTATGTGAAGAGTTACTCGGTATGTTATTATTTCTAAATTGTGATATAAACGGTATATATTTTTCAGAAAACGTGTACGATGCATGGAGAAATCGATGCGTAACCTTGATCATGGCATTACATGACGCAACGACACAACGAAATTTCACGTTGACGAATTTTATCTCTTGGAATCTTTTGAAGACCTGATCGACGAGTGTGGAGATGGTGGTGATCGTGATCGGGGAAGTTAAAAATTGCATTTCTCCATGCAGACCGACAGTGACTCTGAATAGAAAATTGCTTACTATACAATAAAACGAGGCACTAACTATATCTGGAGGCACTAGCTGTATATATAGCTGTATATATAGAGCAATTATATGATACATCTTTCTTTGCCTTCGTATTGTCAATATTTTTACTAAGCAAAGAAATATCGTTAGCGCGCGTCAGTATTTTGCTTAAAAGTGCTCAGTTACTTGGAAAAATTTCTCCCGACGAAAAGTGCCGAAGCTCAATTAGACATATGAGAAAAAACGAGCGATCTCGACCATTGCATCTTTAAACGAAGCGAACGATTATCTCCGTACAACATCCGAGAGAACCGCGTTCCCCTTCGCCGTTGAAAAGAATTTCTCTCACGAGAGGAACACTTTTGCAGCACGAAGATGCTTTCGCGCGATTCAACAACAATCTTCGATTTTTTTCCGATACTGATAATAATGATCGACGCGTCGAACGGGCATCGAGCAAACAACGGATAAGAAAGCTCCCTTTTCCTTGCTTCGTCATAAAAAACGTCATTTACAACAGTTCAATGTGCACTATCCTATACATCTTATTACTCGATTGTTACTTTATTAAATTTTCCATACAAATCAATTGTCGACGGTTTACCACTCTCCAATGCTTCTGGTTCTCGAAATCGTCTCTTTTCGTTTCTTTAATACAAGTACATGTGTTCCATCGTGTACTCTATCGTATATTATATATATATATATATATGTATTTATATGTGTGTGTATGTGTGTATATATATATATATAATCATAAATATATATACATACATATATGTTTATATATGTATATACATACATATATATATATATATATACACACATATGTATATACCATATATGTGTATGTATGCGTGTATATATATATACACACACACACACATTCTGCGAGAACAATATGCCTCGTGTCAAGCTAACTCTCAATAACGCCTTGAAAGTGTTAAATAGAATACGTTCACTATGTCAATTCACGTCGTTCAAACTCCTCGGCGACTCGTGTGCAGTTGCTTCCTCATTTCTCGCTTTTTCTTTCTTTCTCTCTTTTTCTCTCGGTGAACATTGAACATAATTTCGCGTGTGATTGGTGACAATTTCCTGGGACAGGAAATCGGGGAAAGGCAAGGCAATAGTTATTACTTCATTCGCGGGTTCAACAAGTGCCGGTTTGTAACTCGCAGGGATGGTTGACCCCAACGAAATAAAAAACATTCCAATTGTGGTTTTGGTCACTGACACCGTGCAAAAAATCTGGAGTTCATGCTGTCGCAGACTTTGGTTGAAGGAGTAGCGAGGGCTCCGAGCGCACACGTGCGCTCGGAGCCCCTGCTCGACGATCACTGCAGTCGCGGAACACTCTTCACGCCTCTTCGACCTCGTCGACTTTCTCCTCGCACACGCGCGCATTAATCTCCTGCACGTAGCCCTCCGTGAACTCTTTCACGATATCCGCGATCGGCATGACAGGCAAAGGCGGATGCGGTCCCGGGTGAGTTTTACGGTGACAGATCAAGCCCGGCTTTTGCGTGAAAGCTTTGCCGCAGATGTCGCAGACGAACGGTCTTTTGCCGGTGTGGATCAGCAGGTGTTGACGCAATTGCGACCGTCGAGCGAATGGTTTGCTGCAGATCAGGCAGATATGAGGCTTGCAGCCGGTGTGCACGACCATGTGCCGCTTAAAGGAGTCTTTCTTGGTGAAGGTCTTGCCGCACTCGGCGCACACGATCTTGTCGCGCTGCTCGTGCTGCGTCAACAGATGCTGGTCGAGATTCTCCTGCGTCACCATGCGCCTCTTGCAGATGTGGCACTCGTACTTGGGCTTGAAATGCGCCCACTTTTGGTGGACGTACAAGGAGCCGCTGTTCATACAAAGCTTGCCACAGACATCACACTTGACCGGCTTCTCCTTGTGGTGGAACCGTATGTGATTGGTGAGGTCGCCCTTGACCTTGAATTTCTTCGAGCAGAAATTGCAATGGTGCTCGTAGCGATCGGTATGTTTCCTGATGAAGTGCGATTGCAGAGAATGTTTGGATCTACACACGAAGCCGCAGGCTACACATGGGAACGTATCCGCAGTGGTCGTTCGCTTCCTCGACCATGTCTCATGCTTCCTTTCGAGGTGCGTAGCGAACAGGCTCTTCTTCAGGGTTCTGTAATCACACACTGCGCATATGTAAGCACCGTCCTCCTTGATGCACACCTTCTTCTTGTGCGTCCATGCTACGTGCTTCCTGAAGGAGATGTCGGAGTCGAACATCTCAGAGCACACCCGGCATTTGAAGGTGCCACTGGAGCTCTGAGACGTTTTCTCGGATACCTTCGCGATTTTATAGTTTGACGCGGTTTTATCGTCTTCGACGTATGTTATCTCATCCTCGAGGTACTCTACGTCCGCCACCTCCGCCATCTCGTATTCATATATACCCTCCGTCTGATATTGGTCGGTATCCTTCGTCACCACCACCTCTTGCTGCTGCTGCTGCTGCTGCTGTTGCTGTTGCTCCAGCACGGCCTCCTCCGTAGATACGAGTTTTTCAAGCGTCACTACGCTACCCTGCACTTTTACCTGATACACATCCCCGAAATTCGACTTGTCCACCTCGTTGATACCGTTGAGCGTAATGGATTTCACATTCTCATCGCGCTCGTCGACGCTCCCATTGAAGATGTCGTCATCGTTGT